TGCTCGTATCTCAGCTGACTGCTGTTGATGGTGGTGGTGGAGTTAGGCATGTGGGATGGGTGTTTGGATCCGTGAAGTAGAGTTCATGTACCATTACTGGGCGTGGCAGGTTGCTTTCTTTCTTTCTTTCTTTCTTTGTTTTGTTTGTTTGTTTGTTTGTTTTGTTTTGTTTTTAAATCATTTTGTTGGCGCTCCCCTGGGTTTTCGTCTTAGTAATGGGTTGTGGTGTGGTTTAGTGTTAACGGCACACTAATCGAAATATCAACGTACGTGCACAACGCTTTGTTCAAAGATTCAGTAGGTGCTGGTTTTAGAGTTTAGGTTTTTAGTTACGTATCGATACATTTGTACACACTCCCTTTAAGATATTGTGTTCAAGCTTTACTACAACGAATATTCGGGTTCGTTGTATATTTACATAAATCAGAATCCAATACAACATCTTAGCCAGGTTAATATTCACTCATGTATGTTTAGTACGGTATATATTCCACGATGCCTTCTGATTATGTGTATATTCAGCTGTAACCAACCCTTTACTCCCGTATTATTGATTTTATCAAAAGCGGGAATCCGAAAATGTACAAACAATCAAACACGCCCTGGTACACCAACGCTAATACTAGCACTAAAACACAGCAATGAAATCTACTTGCACTGTTTGTACAGCATGAACTCCAACCATATGTGTACATCTCTATAAAGTGCTTGTTATTCAAGGTGTACGTTCTCAGACAACATCTAAAACCCCTATGCACAGGCATTGACATGATTAGACGTGGATCACAACTGACCTGACTACACGCTACATGTCTATTACAGCTGTGGGATGTAACGACTGGCGAGTGCCTACGCACATTCAACGGCCACACAGATTTAGTTCGGTGCATCTACATGGACGGAAATCGCATCGTAAGCGGCGGATATGATAAGTATGTGGTGTAGTGCATATAGTCTCATGTTTTAGTATAGTCAGGTAATAGTCAGCTGTGGATATGATAAGTATGTGGTGTGGTGCACATACTCCCATGTATTAGTATAGAAAAG